GATTCTCTACAGCAAATACCTTAAGGCTGAAGATGTTCATACAAGCAATACATTACGGGTAGTCCTCAACTTACGACCACAACGGAGTCTAACATTTCTGTTGTTGCGAACCTCGTTGATCTTTGCCTCATTTTACAACTTTTCTTGCCACAGCTATTAAGTGAATCATTGCAGTCGGCGAGTTAGTAACCTGGTTTAGTGAATCTGGATTTCCCATTGCCTTTGCTTGCCAGAAGGTAGCAAAAGGGGATTTTGTGACCTTGGGACACAGAACAGTCATAAATATGAACCAGTTGCTAAGTATCCGAATTTTGACCACATAACTACGGGGATGTGGCCATAACTCAACATTTTTCAGTGCCATCGTAACTTTGAATGGTCACTAAACGATCTGTTGTTAAGTTGAGGACTACCTGTACTGCTATCACTTGATGAGACCCAAATCATCATGTTTAGGTGTTTTCTCTAATTAACATATTTCAAAATGAGGCCTTGATCAGTGGAAGTGTACCTCTTGAGCTGTGCTTGCAAATATTCACAAACGTGAGGATATTTGTTCCAAAGAATTTTGGAGAAAGGGCAGGCAATACATCCAGACCGATTTCTTGGAAATTGCAGATTTTGGTCTGCCCAGCATATATGAATAAACATTTCCCATGAAACGCCCTGTAAAGCAAGATTATTTCTTCATAAATAAAATGCTGCCTCTCATCAGTTCTGCCGATGTTCATCATACTTTCCTTGGAATAAACCGCACAGTTAAGACAAATTGTAATCAACCAAAATATCAGAGTTGGTTTGCATGGCTTTCTTTAATGAATAGAAAGGGTTTTTTTTTCCTTTAGAAATAAATTGTAATTTCAACTCATCAGTCTACCAACACATTGCATTTACATTTGTTAAACTGTGTTCACGCTCCATTTCTCTAACTTGCTTGCCTCTAAAATTGCTGTTGCAATTTTATAAAGCTAGCTTTCTCAGGCTATGATGCTAAAAGTCTGAGCTTTTGTTGGTTTTCTGTTGGTTTGGGGTATATTTGATTGTTTTAGTCTTCTAGATGCTTTGTATTTGGTCTTTTCTGGATACAGCTGCCTAAAGTGCTTTGGGAGTTAGATCAAGGGTCTTCAAACCTGGCAAGTTTAAGACTTGTAGACTTCAACTCCCAGAATTCCTGAGCTAACATGACTGGAGGAGGAATTCTGGGAGTTGAAGTCCACAAGTCTTAAAGCTGTCAAGTTTGAAGGCCCCTGAGTTAGATCATCTCAAAATGTTATCATCATCACCATTACCATTGCAATACCTGGAGGCAGATGAACAGAAGAGAAAGAACTGGAAAAAAAACGAGACAAAAGTGTCTTTGTCTACAAATGTCCTCCTTTCCTCTTAATCATTAATATTTTGCTTATTTCTGACATTATCCATCTCCCAAATCTGATCTTAGATCTTAAGCACATGTGCAACTTCCGGTGAAACAAATAGGTCACAGGGGTCAGCTGAGCTAAAACATCTGGTTAAAGAAATAAATGCCTAAAGTTTTGAATACTTTTATCTACTGCACTGTTGTAGCTATGCCCTAAATTACAGACCATCAGGAATCTTACATTCATTAAGGTTTCCATGCAAATGTTGTTAGTCCAGGGCCAGTAAGATTTTGATGCTTCCAGGCTATGGAAATATTGATCCTCCCTCATTCACTGAATTTTAAAGAGGAGGAAGGAAAGTCCAGGGAACATCTTCCACAACCATTTTCTTTCTGCTTCTTTCAACTGCATATCACCAGCCACTAGCCGCATAAAAAAATCCATTAAGGAAAAAAGTTAGTTGCACAATGTCTCTTAGCCAGTGAATTAGCAGGCATCTGAAAGTATCCTTTGAAACAGAATATATGATTGCATATACTTAACACAATTATTCTACATGGGTTATCAAAGAAGGCATCTATACCTCACACACACCCCATGTACTCGGGTGCAAACCTCACTGATTTCTCATTAGACACGGATTCAATTGACAAACTGGGCATGGCTTGTCGAACGAAGGGAAGGACCAGGGAAGACATAATATCAGTCTTCCAATATTTGAGGGTGCCACAGAGAGCAGGAAGGAGTCGAGCTATTTTCCAAAACACCCGAAGGCCAGAAAAATAATAATGGAAACTGAATAAACAGAGATTCAACCTGGAAATAAGGAGGAATTTTCTGACAGTGAGAGCAAAAAACCCATGGAACAGCTGGCCTTCAGAAGTTGTGGGAGCTTCATCCCTGGAGGCTTTCAAGAAGAGATTGGACTGCCATCTGTCAGATATGGTGTAGGGTCTCCTGCTTGGGCAGGGGGTTGGACTAGATGACCTACAAGGTCCCATCCAACTCTGTTAATCGAATCTAATCTAATTGTTAAATGGCTTGCCTTATTTTCAAAATAAAACCACCCTATTCCACTTTCCACAGATCACACCATCTGTCACTTAGTGAAAGCCAATGTCACAAGTAAAGAGATTTTATTGCCTTGCCCCAGTGGTAAGAGGATTTTTCACTTGATGTGGTTCCTCTTTTTTATGTTGAACTGCATTAGTTCCAATTTATGTACTCAAAGAACAAAAGCTTGGCTGACTAATGAATGGAGTCAATTCAAGCTAAAAGACTGCAACATCGCTGCAAATGAAGTGATTGGAGAATTTATTAGGTTACACATCCTTCAGGACCTGTGAATTGAGTTAAAGTCGCCTAACTTTTCAAAGTGACCCAGTTTAGTGTAGTAGACGAAAGCACCAGATAAGAAACTGGGCAAAATGTGAATTGTAAAGCTGTTGTAGGCGCAAAGTCAACTGTGATAAATATGAGCACCTAACAACTGGATGCCTTTGGGCCAGTCACTCCCTCTCAACTCTAGGAAGAAGGCAATGGCAAGCATTTCCAGAAACGTTGCCAAAAAAAACCTCATGGACTTGTCCAGGCAGTTACCAGGAGTCAAGACTGACTCAAAGGCACCTCCCCGAGAAAAAATCCTTTGCAAAAAGCACCAAGGAACAAGTAAAATAAAAAGAAAGTGATCTGATTCATGCTAGTTAACTAAATTATAATATGCTAATCCAAAATTAATTAATGTAACACACGTCCCTAAAGAAAAAAAAATGCCATTTCCACATCACCATTTTTTTAGGCTTTGCAATTCTCTAAACAGCAGAAAAGCAAAAATACTAACAGAAGAGTTTAAGAAAAAATTGAGAATCTCCACAGATGAACACAGCATCTTAAGTTACAGAACCCTGGGCCATTGCTAAATCCACCTCATGAAAAGTTAACTAACTATTCATGCATTTAAATTTCTCATACTGAATGAATAAAAGAAACACTCCATAGCTGCCATTGAGTCATAACTGCCATCTTAATTTTTTTTGCAGCATCCTCCAAATCAAGTACTTTTCTTTTTCCAACAAACAGATCTACATCATCAACATATATGGAACAAGAGAAGGAATTTCCCCCAGAAATAAAGAATTGAGAGTTCCAGAAAAAAGGAAATAAGCAGGTTTTACCTGCTTACAAAAGTCAAAACCTTATAGTAGTGAAATATTTTTTTATCAGTAGTAACATCAATCTCTTATTCATCATTCCCAGACACAAGATTATCACTAGCTGTACAGTGTTAAGAAAGTAAAATTACCACTTCTACCTCCAAGGAAAACGAAACTTATTGCTGAACAGAATAAGCAAAGAATACAATGACATTGCAATTAGGCAAAGATTTGCCAAAATTACACATATTTCCCCATCCAGGCTGGCTATTCGGAGAACCCAAAAGTTTCTATTCCTTGTGGCGTTCAGCAGGCAAGCTTTCTCTAAAACAGCCCCCACTTTATGGTCGACAATATTTTCATTTCAGCAATATTGGAGCTCCCAACTTGCTGCGATTCCATGAACAAGTGAGAGCTGATTGAACATGGTTTTTGGTCCCACGTGACTGACAATACATGCCTGTCTTGGGTGCTATTTTTGCTTTCCTTTTGGGGTTAACTTTGGGTTTTTACATTAAATTGGATGCAGTTCTTTAATGTCAGTTTTTTCATTAAATGTTGCGTAGCACACCACCCAGAGTCCTCGGGGACCAGGGCCGCGTTATAAGTACTGGAAATAAACAAACACAATTAAACCAAATATGATTCATGCTTTGATAGCAGAATAAAAAGACCGGTAGTTCAAAGAAGCCTTATTATAAACAAAAGACAGCTTTCCATCCGTGCACTGATGAACCATTTTTTATTCCTCCTAGAGCTGCCATCATAAAAAAAAAGCTAATTTTTCTAATGCACAAAACGATGCTTTTTTGTTTAATCTTTATAGGGCAGTGACTTCAAATTCCCAACCACTTGGGGGAGGGGGGGGGATGAATCTTGAGGAAGGGCCTGCCAACACTGTAAAGTGCAGGTGCAAAAGTTCTTAAATAAGTTTTTTTTAAAAGATATAAAAAGGATGCTCCATCCTCCTTGTGTTTGGATATGCAAAGAGAGAGAGAGACAGGGATAATGATGGAGGCAAAAATAAATGGAGGACACCGCCGGTTAAGATGCAGGCTGAAAGATGCTGCAGGCCCAGGTTGCCATGTCGTCCTGCTTTTTGCATTATATGGGGGATTATATGGAGGACAACACGAAACAAAACAACAACAAAAAAGCGAGAAACGCACATATAAAAAAAATACATATTATTTAAATATACGGGCGTTTCAATGAGCCCCAAGCTAGGAGACAATGCCGCATCCAAGCAAGGATGGGGAGGGAGGAGGCTCCGTCCCTACGGCCGAGACGCCTTTCCTTAATTCCCCCCCCCCCCCCCCGAAAGAAACCCCCCCCCCAGTCAAAAAAGGGGGGGAGCCAGCAATCACCCCTTTTGGGGCTCTCGCCCCCCCCCCACTGCACCCCCCCCACGGCGTTGCCAGGCAACCACCAACGGCCACCCGGGCAGGCCTGGCCTCCTCCCGCGCGCGCGCGCGCCTCTCCTCACCTTCGTGTAGAGCTCGGAGGCCGCCATGGTGGTGGTGGTGGTGGAGGGGGAGCAGCAGCAGCAGCAGCAGCCTCCGCTGCTGCCGCCGCCTTTCCCACCCGAGGCTGGCGGCGAGGTCGGCCTCGGAGCCGGCTGGAGGAGCCGAAGGCGGGGCGGACACGAGGGAGGGAGGGAGGGAGAGAGGCGGGCGGGCGGGCGGGCGGCTTACTGGCTCCCCTCGGCGGGCAGCGGCTGCCGTGGCTGCCGAGCCGGGCGGGCCATGTCGCTACCTGAGATGCGCCGGGAAGAGGGAAGGAGAAGATGCGGGCGGCCCCTCCGCCGCTGCCTCCGCCTCGTCAGGCATGCTGGGTACCGGCGGAGGCGCCCGAGCGTGCGCGCCGCCGTCTCCCCGCCGGTTGGGGCCCGCCGGACGGGAGACCCTTCTCGTCCTTTTCCCGAGCGGAGGCTTGAGGAGGGTCTCGGTAGTGGGGGGTGGGTGGGGTGGTGGTGGCGGAGTGGGCTTCAGGGAAGCCTCCCTCGCCCGTTTGTGGGGGCTGCGGGGCTGCAGAAGCGACCCCCCACACACACCAACTTCCTTCCAAAACGTTTAAAATGGAAACCTCCTTAAAATGGAAAGGAGACGCTAGAAAGGGCGCAGAGAAGAGCAACGAGGAGGATTAGGGGACTGGGGGATAAAACATAGAAAGAACGGTTGCTGGAATGGGGCAGGTCTAATCTGACGAAAAGAAGGATTAAGGGGGGACATGATAGCAGTATTCCAGTATTTGAGGGGCTGCCACAAAGGAGAGGGAGTCAATCTAAGGAACAACTTCTCCTTACTGAACTCCTCAACTCGGCTACACGCACACTGATACTTCCCCTGATAATATATATCTTGTATAAACTCTCTGTGCCTTATACTTATATTCCATATGTTCATAAACACTCTGTATAGTCGCATATATTCCTTCCATAGATATATGTTCCGTATATTCATAGATATTCTGTATATCCATCTATAGTTATATTTTGTATATCTGTATATATTTATACTTGGTTGCCGTTTTGCACTTCTGGTTAGATGCTAACTGCATTTCGTTGCCTGTGTTCATGTGCAGTGACAATAAAGTTGAATCTAATCTAATCAAAAGGCCCGAAGGCAGGACAAAAAGCAATGGATGGAAACTAACCAAGGAGAGAAGCAACTTAGAACTGAGGAGAAATTTCCAGACAGTCAGAACAATTAACCAGTGGAACTACTTGCCTCCAGGAGTTGTGAATAATCCAACACTGGATGTTTTTAAGAAGAGGTTGGATAACCATTTGTCTGAAGTGGTGTAGGGTTTCCTGCCTAAGCAGGGGGTTGGACTAGAAGACCTCCAAGGTCCCTTCCAACTCTCTTATTCTATTCAGTTCCTCAAGAATGAAAATAAATTGTCCATAAGACCCAGTGAGACTCTTTCATTGGAGAGAAGCCATGGCTGGTAAGCATTTCAGCCTGGGAGGTGTCCGTCCTGCCCCCTGCCCTTAATACAGGTAGTTCTCGATTTACAACAGTTTATTTGATTTATATTGCCACCTATTAGCCCATGGCAACTCAAGGCGGCTTACATAATGTAAAGTCATATTTAAAACAAAAAAATAAAAATAAGAACAAAAAGAATCAAATTAGTAAAGTACAATAGAACAAAATTTGGAAAAATAAACCAACTCCCGTCCCCCCCCCCAAATTTATTTAGTGATCATTCAAAGTTTAAAAAGTGACTTAGAAACATTTGTTCAGAGTTGCAACCTTGGTAGCATCCCCAGGGTCATGTGATCAAAATTCAGGTGCTTGGCAACTGGTTCTTGCTTATAACCATTGCTGTGTCCTGAGGCCATACGATCCTCTTTCGAAACCACCTGACAAAGTCAATAGGGAAGCCAGATTCACTTAACAGCCGGGTTACTAACTTATCAACTGCAGTGATTCATTTAATAAACTGTGGCAAGAAAGGTCATAATATGAGGCAAAACTCTCTTAACAAATGTCTCGCATAACAACAGACATGTTGGGTTCAATTGTGGTTGTTAAGTCGAGGACACCTGTATTCGGGGGTTTGGTGGGGAGATGACTAAACTGAGTTACGAGTAATGGTAAATTGAGGATTACTTGTAAAACCTGATTTAGACACTATACCATAATGGCTCCTTGTGTTGGGATGGTTCCTCCATCGTCCTAAACTAGGGATCCCCCAGTCTTCAGTTCATTGACCCATGAAAGTATTTAGCAGGAACAAGCCGTCATGAGATAAGCCATAGGCATACGTATGCGTCCATCATACTTTTTGGGTTAAGTAGTCTCCAAGTAGCAACCAACCTCAACCCTACTTTTCAAGATCAGCCATGGGTAAGTGCTGCCACCTGCTGCCACTGTTTTTTCTTTTGGTACAATATCCTGAATAAACCAACCACACAGGCTGGATCTGTAATACTATATAGCAAACTAAGCACGAGTGGTCCAGTCTGTTATGTACACAGGTGCTTAACAAAAAATTGGGCTTCCACTAAGTTAAATCCAACAAAATCCACCTGTTAAATTTCTTAATGAAGCCCCAAAATTAATTGCAAGATTAGACAACCTTATGAGCCACTGAGTCATCTTTTGACAGAAAAGTAGTGTCTGGCGTGTGACCACTTCCTGATGTTTGGTGTTATCTGTTGACTATGTGACCTCCTCCTCCTCTCCACAAGGCATAATTAGGCTGGTTTGTTTTTTTAACCTGATGTTGGATGGTGTTGCCGTCATCTTAAAAGCGTATCATGTGACTGGAGACACGGCGACAGCCAGAAGTTTGCAAATAAAACTGGTGTGAACATTGTGTAGATTCCATTGGGAGTGATGGCTTTTGGATTTTTTCTGCATTCTTTAATGCAGACTAGCGGATTTGAAGTACCATGATTCCGAAATGGTTGTGGTATTAATACACCAGGTATGGGAGCCACTTCTGACTTCCTGCCAGCTTCCCCATTGGACTTGGCTTGCGGGAAAGCTGGCAGGGAGCATCAGAAATAACAACCATGGCGATGCTGCAACAGCTAAAAGGCAGCACATGGAAGTAGTATGAACATTGGAAATTTCAATTCCACAGGAGTAACCGGTCCCAATTTTTTAATGTGTTCTTTAAATTGGCAAGTTTGATGTACATTGATTCAAACAAATTTCCGGTACAACCAACCATTTGGGCCAACTGGAGGGTCAAAACAGACAGGAGAATTTTAGTAGCATAATATAGACTAGGCCAATAATTAAGTCAAGTTTACAGATAGATTAACTAGATGACTGGATTCTTAGCAGAAACGTGATAGCTACACTACTCTCCCTTAGAGTGTAATGTTTTTATACTAAAGCTAATGACCTTGGCCCCCTTCCCAACTTTTCCAAAAATTCTGAAACTCCCGTAAAAGTTTAGTAAGGTCTATCAAACCCCAATTCGTAAATGTTGGTTTACATTCAACTTGGCCATCTTATCAAGTGGAATAGATCCTAATTGGTTGTAAGTAGAATATACATTTCTATTCAAATAGTTAAGAGCGCTAAGGTTAGCTATGCAGGTGGAATTCAACTTCTTCAGTTTACCAAAATTGCAAGTATGTCAGATACCAATGTGTTATTGTATCTACAAAGAGGGTATGCTGCAGATAAAAACATGAACCTGCAATTTTGTACCAAAAAGCACCAGAGGAAGTTGGAACCCTAAAGTGTTTACATAGTTCCTGCTCCTTCAGGGATTTGTCTGAAGAATCCATTCTGATATTCTCGGATTAATTTTCAGAATCAATTTCCATAAATGAATTGCATAGAAACAAGCCTATTAGTGTATTAAAATCAAATCATAATATTTAATACAATTTTTAGAAAAATAAGAACTGAGGTATATAGAGTTACAGTCAAGAACATTATAGGTTTAATATTGAATACATACTAGAAAACAGAAGTTTTTCCTTAATACAAAATTAATTCCATGGAAACCAATGCTTTTAGTCAGAATTAAGGGATTCAAGGCAATAATTGTGGGGAGTGGTCGGTGGGAGAGTGTATCAGTAAAACACCAGACAAAGTTTCTACAGAGCAGTGAAAACAAATGAAATTGTATTTATTATGCATATTATACAGAATGAAAACTGTAGGGAGCAACTGAAATCCTCATTGCCTCAGGTTATGGAATGCATCAGAGAGCTTATCAGAGCAGGCAATTCTTAATGCGGCCTCTGCATATACACACGTTCACACACAGATTCTTGTGACAATGGGCAAAGTCAGTGGATGGAGCAGAAGCGGGGGAAATTTTATCACTTGACACACTATTACTGAACTACTGAGGAGTAGTTGGGAGGCTACTATTTTGAGTACAGACATCCTTGAGCATTACTAATCACTGCATAAAGCAGATTGTTAGGCTGTAGTACAGATCTCTGAAAAAGGTATCAAATGGTAAAACTCATATTATACAGTATATATACATACGTAACAGCTTTATCTTGATGAAATAAGCTGCAGTTTAGATGTCCATTCTCTCTTCTGAGAAATTATTACGGATCAAACTATTTGCATCCTTAATCAAAGACCAACCTATCTTCAGTTGCTGAGGTTTTTTAGAGACAGAGATTCACTATCAAAGCAGACTGGTATTGGAGTAGATATTCTTACAATCGCTCAGCTTGTGTTTTTTGTATCCCTAACATTTGCCCAGTCTTATCAATACAAAAATATAACTTATTAAGCAGGAGAATGGAATGTTTAGATTGACATCGTTTATATACCCCCTTATCCACCAAAACAATTCACCTTACTATAATCTGCAGCAATCTGTTAGGAAGTCACTTGAAGCTAGTCAACAGGGTCGGTCTCTTATACAAAAGGAACTGAATGTTAGAATTTCCATTAAACAATACATGTTCTCGAATCAGCTATTCGGTTCTCAGTTCTATCCCTAACAAAGTATCTCCTGTGCTGATTTTACTGCTCACAGCATTCAAATTCCAATACAACTGGGACATAAAATTGAAGCAGATTATAGCAGGAATAGATCTCACGTCATTACTACTCAGAGATAAAAGAAAAATATATAGCTTTAGGGGAGAAGTGACAAAATAGCCCCTCCAAATAAACTAGAAATTACAAATTGTCACCCATGCAGCTAATGGAGTGATTTGGATCAGTATAAAGTAACCTTTTAAAATTTGAGATGTAGCAAGGCTATGCCCAATAACTTCAGAAATGTTAATTTATTCTTTCCTTTGTCTGAATGTTGAATTTATTTATAAAAGAAGTACAGCAGAAATTTATTACTTTCAGAGACTACCTTGGGAAAAATCCAACTTCTATTGCCTAATAAGTCAAATCTCTCAAACTATACAGAAAGCCTTTCAGAGAATGTCAAGTAAATCTGATATTTTAAGACAGACAAAATAGTATTTTTGTTGTTAATTTTTATGTGTATAGGTAGCCAATTATATCCAAGATACAATTGCTTTTAATATTTATAATGTACAATGACAAAGCACTCTTATCTTACAAGACATCATAATTTTAGAACATATCAAATCTAATCATTACCATCTTTACTTCTTAATCTAAAAAGCTTGTATTCTTTTTAAACTACTACTAAAATAGCAGGTGCTGTCTTTATATCATTGGAGGCCTCCAGTAGCAGCACAGAAGTATCCAGAATTTTATGTTTTAAACTTCTTGCATTTAATTTTAAAAAGAGATCTTCAAATGTGCTGAAGAAATACAGTCGTGCTGGAAGTCCCTACATAGGGTGATTTAAAAATAGCTTAATGAGTTTTAAGTTTAATCCCTTGAAATAAATAGAATCTGTTGTATCAATTAACAGGAAAATGCATTGTTAAGCTGATCTACCCATAGTGCTTCAACAGTTTCCAGATTTTAAGCATACAAGTCTTTTACTTTTCATTAAGGAGGTTTTGATTCAAATAAGTATGATTTTTCAAGAGACAGAATTTGTGCTTGCAGTTGGCACATTTTTAAAAGTGTAAAGTTAACATATTTGCAAAAATTGTGCAAAACTATCTTATTTACAGACATGGCACAAAAGTGAATGCAGTCTATGCACATGCATACTTCATCCACTTTAAAAATGTGTTCTATGCTACAGAACCGAAAAGAATACCAGCTTCAACAGACAGTTGTCAATAAGCACAAAGTTTACAAGAATTACGCCAAAATGAGCAAATATTGCTCAAGTAAAAATCTATTGTTAAAGCTGAAGTAGGTTTAAGGCCATTCAAGTTCAAGAGTAGATACACAAATTTAGTGAGAGCCCCATCATTTTAATACATGCTTTACCTTCTAACAACTTACTGTCTAAAACCTGTACTTTTCAAAACCAAAACACAAGGGGAAAAAGAACTGGTATTTGATACAAACATATTACACTGGAATTAAAGTGAACTAAGGAACGCCAAAACATTAAAAAATTTCAAACTTGCTTTGTCACTTGCTGGAACCAGCCCTACACTAGCAAACAGGTAATATGTACATTTTTCAAGTAGATTACATTGCTCTAAACATGTCCTTTTTTAAAAAAAAAATCAGTGCATTGTTCTCAACTCGTCCAAGGATTATGCAATTCTTAATTGGACTCTTACAATAGCAGCACACACGCTACCACTACCTGCCAAGCAGTCAGTCAATGACTTAGTGGAAACAATAATGTGAGGAAAAAAAAACTTAAGGAAAGATTAAGGGAATAAGAAGTTTCATGCAGTTCTGCCAGCCTAGTCAGCCAGCCAGTTTGCTAGCAACAAGAGATGGTTTCCGTTGTGGGAGGTCCTGTGGTGTAGGAATGTGGTCACCTGTGACTTCAGTCTTATCAGGAGCCGCAGTAGGAAGCTGCTTGTTCTTCATCTTTGCTTTTGCCATATTGTAATCCCCAGAATCAAAGTACTTTTGCTGCAAGATAAATGTATCAAGTGAAATGTAACAAAAATATAATGTAGTTCATCCAAGAATTACACACATGCTTCAGCATCTAGGCTAATTTAATCAAGTTGATGCATATGCAGAACAAAAGGCGTAAGTTGATCCTTATCTGGAAAAACTCATCAAATGGAGATAAAATGTGTTCAAGTGGAGAAGCCTGGTTTTGTTATCATTCGATAGTTAGAATTGCTTACAACATCCTGTTCGCATTAATGAATAGGGTATTTAGCATTGCAATCACATGCCAAGAACGCATTCATTATGAACAGAATGCATGAAATATCTCAAAAGGAGATCTACTACAGTATTCATTTGTATCCTTGAAGATAAATGCATCGTTTGAATATTCTATATGCTCTTCTACCAGGATACAGGTTTTAGTTTCAGAGCAAACAAAGATAAATTAAAACATTTCCCTTTATTATGTAGATTAGCTTCATATCTTACTCCTTTCTGAAGTCTCTTCCTCAAAAAATCTGAGCCCCCAGGCTTTTGGCCCAGATGAGGATATCTTGCTTTCAACTTTGCTTCTTCAGCTTTCTCAGGACTAATCACCTTATCTTCCATTTCCTAAAAGTATAAGAAACTGGTATTTTATTACACTGTTTTGTGATTTCACAATTCATATTGTGATACCCTAATACTTAAAAAGTATATAATGCAATCACATTTCATAAGTGTTTCTTGGCTAAATAATATAACAGAAACAATTTACAGAAACATAAAGACCAATCGCACAACACATACTTTGAATAGACTGTCAACTGTAACTTTGTAATATTGTAGTAGGTGTTAAGATGCTACCCGTGTGAACAAATCGGTAACAGTATTACAAGATCCTTACTTACAAGATTACATTACAAGCCAACACAAACCAATCATTTTAATTTTAATCAAGGCACTAAGTGTGGATGGAGATTCTCAGTCATCCAAGTTGATGGTTGTCCGAAAGGTGCTTTTTCAAAAGGTAGCTGGACTTTCTGGTTTTTCTTTGAAGATGTTTTGCTTCTCATCCAAGAAGTTTCTTTAGCTCCAAGAGCTGAAGCAGCTTCTTGGATGGGGCATGGAATTTCTTCAAAGAAAAACCAGGAAGTCCAGTGGCCACTTGGGTCACGGTACTAAGTTATTTTGTTCATGTCTGACCATTTTTCAACGCTTTCTGCTCTTTATGGCCTGAAATACGACCCAGGAGAGTTTAGTACTGAGACACAAGCAATGGTCGTATAAACGCCTGGAGACTAAAACATATGAACAAGGGTTGCAGGATTTGGGTTTGGCTAGTCTAGAGAAAAGAAAGACTAGGGGTGACCTCATAGCAGTATTCCAGTATTTTGAGGGGCTGCCACCAAGAGGAGGGTGTCAGCTTATTTTCCAAAAGGGGCAGGACAAGAAGCAATGGATGGAAACCAATCAAGGAGAGAAGCAACCTGGAATTAAGGAAAAACTTTCTAACAGTGAGGACAATCAACCGGTGAAATGGCTTGACTTCAGAGGTTATGGGTGCTCCAATCACTGGAATTTTTTAAGAAGAGACTGGACAGAAATGGGACAGGGTCTCCTGCTTGAGCAGGGGGATGGACTAGAAGACCTCTAGGGTCCCTTTCCAGCACGATTCTGATTCAGAACCCAGCTTTGATCCTCTAGGCTTTTTAAAGCCAAACCCTGACCGAAGCCAAACCCAAGTTTCGGGGATAGGATTGACGGGGCTACCTTGAATCCCAGAAGGCCGCTGGGCTCAGCCTGAGCATCTGATCATCATCACTCCTTTGTTTTTTTTTTTCTGGGGGGGTGGGGGGGTTGCGCATTAGAGCCCGATGATGTCAGAATCCCGCCTCGCCCGCTGCATTCAGACGCCCCGGGCGGGGCACGCCCAGCGGGGGCTCCCGGGAAACCCCTCCCGTTCTCGGTGTGTGTGGGGGGGGGGGCCAATTCGGGGGTGTTCCGCCCCGGGGGGGGGTAGGCGGGGGGGGGGGGGGGGGGGGCAGGAGGTCTAAACCCGCAGAGGCTTGCCTCGCCGCGTGGGCGTGTGTCCCCCTCCCTCCCTCCCTCTTTCTCGCGGGGGCGGGCGAGCAAATTGCGCCTCGCGGACTCGGGTGAAGGGGGGGGGAAACCTGCAGCCCCCACGGTGTGTGCGGGGAGGGAGGGAGAGCTAGAGGAAGGGCGTTTTTTCTTTTTCCACACCCGCACCCCGCCGGGTTAGGCCTCTGCCGTGCCCCCCCTCACGTCCACCCCGCCGTGAAAGACTCGGCGGAGGCCGGGGAGACGGCCGTTCCCGCCGGAAGTTTTGTCCTCCTGGCTGCCGCCGCCGCCGCCGCCCGCTGCTCTTCCGAGCGTCCTTCTTGCCCCTCACCTTCTGCTCCTCTGCCGAAGCGGGCTCCAGGTTCTCCGCAGACATGGCGTCCAGACAACCGGGCTGCCGGGAACCACCCCACCCCGGGCGAGAAAGGCCTACCGCCTGGAAAGCGAAGCTCCAACCCCCGCCTGCGGCCGCTGATATCCCCCCCCCACCCTCACACACACACAGAGCCGCTCACAAGATGGCCGACAGCGAAGACGGCGAGCCGACCGGGCCAAAATTCCTCTTCCGGCTCGAGACGCCTCCTAAGAGCAAAATGAGCGAGCCACACACCCAAGCAAGAGAGGCGCGGAGGGCGACTGGCTCTCCTGCCCGAGCTTGGTTTGTTAGGCTGCGCGCGTCATCGCCTACGTCACTGGGAGTGGCTACTGAGGCATTCTGGGAGCTGAAGTTCTTGAAGGAGATACTTTCCCACCGGAGATGTAGAAGAGGAACGTTTAAGGCTGTGTAGTATAGAGCAGTCGAAAAGTTCCAGAGCGCTTTCTCACGGGTAGAGAGAGATACGGGATTGAGGGGTTGAGCCATGTCTTTCTGCAACTTCAGAAAGACCTCGTTGGTGTAACAATGGGATCTTGGAAATGTTTGATTCTGGAAATTTAAGGATTAAAACCATGGGAAATATGCAAAGGATTGCTAGCTGGCCTTGCTTCTAAATTAACTTAGCATTAAGTAATATTTAAGAAGTGACCTGAAATTTTAAGGCGGTTCTCACTCTGCTTACTAATCATTTAGCTTTCTTTTATGACTGAATGAATTTGACAGCAAATTTCTAAACCATCTTCCTAGTTTAGGTACCAAAGGGACTTAAGACTCGATTTGAAGCATGTATTTTTGCCTTTTTATAACCCCTTTTCATTCTTTAGTGGTGTCTAAAGTGGCTTAAGGCACTTATTTCAAATCTTTGCCCTTCAGGTCTCTTAGATGCCTTGGGTGGAGGAGTTTTAAGTTTAGATTTGCTTGATATTCAAATGCATACCAAGAAAACAAAAGTTTCAGTAATTATTTAATTACTCTAGTGCTTTATCTTAGCAGGAAGGTAAGATTTGTAGAGTAAATAAGCCTAATGTCTTTCCTTACATACTTTTTTGGAGAAAGGATTTTATATCCAATTATGCAAGCAGAAAAAAAAACCAAAACTTTGGTTGGAACAAAAATGAAGTATATTTCTCAGAGGCTACTTTTTATTTTTCAGACCTGCAAAAGGAACTAAGTTTGTTGGGGATCAGGTATTGAGATAAACACTTTGCTTAATCAAAGGTTTTTTTGTTTCTTTGCTTAACGCTGTATTTTGGGGTTGAGTAACAAAAGAGAAATATAAGCAATAGAAGAATAACGCTTTTCTTAATTCTAATTCTCTTTCAAATATTAACCAGATTAAGAAAATACTCTGAAGCAGTGTTTCTCAACTTGGCAACTTGAAGATGTTGTGGACTTCAACTCCCAGAATTCCCCAGCCATCAAGGCTGGCTAGGCAATTCTGGGAGTTGAAGTCCACTCCTCTTCAAGCTGCTAGAGTTGACAAACACAGCTCTAAAGAGTATTCTAACATCACCGCAGATGTTCTAACACAGAGGTCTCCAAACTTGGCAAGTTTAAGACTTGTGGACTTCAACTCCCAGAATTCCTCAGCCAGCATAGCTGGCTGAGGAATTCTGGAAGTTGAAATCCACAAGTCTTAAACTTGCCAAGTTTGGGGACCCGTGTTCTAACACATGGCCTGGGCATCTCTTTTGCAATTCTTTTATACTGCAATAAAAGAATTAACTTTCTAGAACCAACCCTGGAATAAAAAAAAGGAGCGGGGGAGGCGACCGACCATCCACTGAACACAAAGACTATCTCAAAATAAAGCCAGAATTCAAATATAGCTGTTTTCACATATATTTACAATATAAATATGACTTTGTTTTCACGGTACATCTTTAAAAAAATAAAACAAAAAGCCCTCTAGACTGAGAAAGTTAGGCATGGGACAGCAGAGTATAATGTCAAATGCGGGGTTATCCATTAGGATAAAGTGAAGTACTGGAGGAGAAACCTTTAAAGAGGAGAGGAAGTGCGAATTATGAGTCCACTTAACCATGAGTCATCAAAACATTTTCCTTTTGGTACGGTTTTGTGTTTATCATGGAAACTAAGCATGGGAAGAAATGAGCAATGGAAAAGACACACATGATCCTTCTCCTGCCCCCACATCCTTTGCATAGTATGATAATGTAATGGAAGTTCAAAATCCCATCTTTATTCTAAGCGAGTTAAGAAGCCCTGAAGAACACATCACGCATCAAAGTAAAGGTTCTGTATATATTTCAAGATTTCAATATTAATGTCAAAAATACGTAGTATGATTTTACATCGGATTTGTGCTACATTAGAACAGTAAAGACAAACATCACTTAAGTGAAAGGAACATTAAATATTAAATAGCCCAAAATAAAAATAAAATAAGGTGTAAACACTAAACTAATTTGGGACTCTGCTATTGCAACACATCCAATGAAGTGGTTTAAAACGAGTATAAAAAGGTTACGACTAAGTGTGTTCCAGTCTATTCAGAATACACAAAGCTCATTCTAAAAACATTTCTGAACTGGTCCAAGAGGTTTTGACTCCCATCTGACCATCCTTCTCACCACCTCCGTGATTCAGGTTTTGCACAGGATATTTTATTGTTTTGTCTTGAATAATAATCTGGTCATTGAGGAAATAGTTTCACGGTTGTGTTTTGCTAACACCGGGGTGAAAACTGAGGATTCATTGGAGATTCAGTGTAAGATTTGAGTTCATATGCAGCGCCACTGTCCACTTCCATAGATTTTCGGGAAAACAGAAGTCTTACATCTCTGTAGAGGTAGATCTTTCCAGACTTGGAACTCTGGAACCTGGGAGAGAAACAGATAACTGATAAATGATCACATAACAACTATCAATGTCTCACAAGTCTGAAGTCCTACATGAGACTAAGTAAAAATTAGCAGTATTTCTGCCTAGAAATCTACTGAGTCTCCATACATTATCTTGTAAGGTCACAAGATTCAGTCATTTTTTAAATTATTATTTTTTATTTTGTATTACAGTTCTGCCAATATCAAGTTTCATGGGCTATTTGGCATCCCAAATGGCAGTTCCTCTTTGCAATGACTGTGAACTAGTACAAAAGTGACTCATTGTTTTTCAGTTCATTTATTTGATGCTTGCTTCCCAACGTTCAAAGTTATTTGTAATAAGAAAAAATTTAAGAAACTGTTGCAACTTTGGAGATTTGTTATATTCAGGCAAAGCACCCTAGCACATAACCATTAATGTTTATATCTCAAAATAGTGTCCCTTATTTTTTTCTTCTTCCGCGCCGCTCTCTCTATGATGGGCTGTCTGTAGCAATTTTGAAGAACTTTCAGTCCAGATGCAAAGTATACCATAAATTAATGTCTGGGCATTTAGCTTATTTTACAGAAGCTGGTTTAGAAATTCAAGAGATCCAGTGAGCCCACATGAAGAGCTGCATTACTGATCTCTTCGGATTTTGCAAGACAACTTTTATAAATAGTAAGTGTCAGCTTTAGTTTGGTTCAAATGTTTTTGCTGACCATCATTTCCTAAGGTAGGTTCACCACAGCAGTGTGACACATCCTAAATTAGCACCTCCTCCCCAGAGATTCAGCCATTAAATAGTTGACTGTTCCAAGACTTAATTTCTTTTTGAGAGGATGCCTATGATTTCAGCTGCTAAACCCGAATTGCTTAGTTTTAAGTTTCAAATTAATTCAAATTGTTCATATAAGCAGGAAAATAAAATTTCTCAAACCAAATCGGTGCTATCTATCTGCTTTAATTGATAGGTGAACACAATTTTATTAGAACATTGGTTGGAACCCTGACATTCCCAATCATTGCCTTGTTCCAAAAGATGCCCCATTAAAAGTAAGGAGTTCCTAAATTAGGTGGAAAAAGGCTAAGTAACACGTGCCAGTAACACACACAGTTCCTAAGTTCCCTTAAAGGTCCCTTTTGTTTTATTTGTGATTTATTTATTTGTAAAATTTATTGGCTACCCATCTTAACACCAGATCACTCTGGGTGGCTTACACTCTTACCTCTAACCCAATCTTAATCTTATAATAACAGGGAATAACAGAATAACATGGTTGGAAAGGACCTTGGAGGTATTCTAGCCCAACCTCCTGCTCAGGCAAGGAAACCTTATACCATTTCACTAATCTTTGATCTTGACTGTGGACAAGTGACAGCACATTTCCTGCTATTGGGGGGGTGGGGGAAACCCCACCCTGCCAGCCATCTTTGGCACAGGCCTCTCCTGTCCTGTCAACTGCAGCCCCACGGACTCCCCCGTAGGCCATGCTTCCTCAGCCACGGTCTCACCTCAGGTGAATGAGGTAGCGTAATAGTCTCTCTTCAGTATGTCGAGTATTTTGTTGAATAATGCTTTTTCTTGTTTCTCGCTTGACAGGGACAGAAAAAGTTCTTTGCCGCAGGAATGTCTGGTGATTGGCAGGCATCTCTCGTAAGTCATAGATCACCACAAACATCTTCACCACAGTCTTGTTAGGATTAAATAAGGTCTAGAGGGGAAAAAAGAATGCCCTTATTTGAGAATGGTATGGATTCACTGACATCGCTGAAGCAGACAAAAAGAATCAAATATATTTAGAAAGATGGATCCATGGTATCTCCTCCGGGAAAAATTTCACCCAGTGCTGCCAGGATGGAGGAAACCGTGGCTTTGGCCAACCCTAATCTAACACCAGATGCTCAGTTTTCTCACTGGTGTTTCTCAGGCTACAAAAATTAATTTTAAGATGTTATTGCCTCTTCCAGTGCTGTGTTTGGCCAAATTCAGTTAGCAGTCATTATTTAAAGCACTGATCAGCATTGGTCTTGCGTACATTTTAATTATATCAAGTACTGATCCAATTAGAAATCAATTTTACAACTTCTGAGACTGAAGAAAAAACAAACTCCTCATTTCAATGCCCAAGCTTGGTTTTATAGCTTTCTGATCATTACGTCATTTTGTTTTGGGATGGTATTGCAAAGAGTTAAATATTTTTATTAGAAAGGTAGGAATAATGTAGTGTATTGCAGCAAAACAAAAAAAATTCCTATAAGCACCCCGAAAACCGTTAAAAGTATCATGACATCAACTTTCATGAACTGAAGACTATCTATGGGGTTTTAGCCTGAATAAAACTGACTGACCCACATCTGTATGGTTGTGAGAATAACAAAATTCAAAAGAAAATGAAATGCTGAAGATGCAGACACCTAACAATTGCATATTACTGCCTTTCACAATGCAGTTGTAAATGTGACATAGATAATCTTGCATTAGTGAGCTGATTAACTCACGTGTGATAAAAATCTGTGCCTTGACTTAATCATTGCTTAGTAGAATTGATTCCATTAGAGATGACTCTCTACAAAATCTGTATTTTGAAAATGGATTAATTTCTCAATAGGAAACTAATAATCTCCTTTCAACTTATCTTTAGCCGATTTGCAATAAGAACTAAGAACATTTGAAGTCTATCATTAAGCAGAATTCCAGCTTTCAGAAAAACGAGCCCTTGGTGGGAAGAAATAGTGCAGAGAAAATTTCTTTCTTACTCTTAACCTGAAGCAGTGTGACCTCTGTAATTAACCATGTATCTTCACAAACACTATCTCCCTATTTCTCAATTAGTATAAATTGCCTTCTGTAAGGTCAGAAGTGTACTTCTTCACCTAAAACAATGAAACACAGCATCAGATTATTTTCACTCTCCTTGTCCTTGTCAAGCTTTTTTTCATAAGCAAATGTTTAACAACGCAATAAAGTCTACAACGCAATAAAGTTTTACCAAAGAACTTACATGACCTTCTGATTAGCAAACTAAAGTACAGGCATGAAAATTGAATGTATAGCTGACTCAAGAGATTTCATCAATGGTGCCTCTTCAAATTGCATCATGTGACATGCCACAAGAATATGTCCCTGGCCTTCTGTTTTTGAATATCTTTGTTTATGAGAAATATAATGGACACATTAAAACAGTTTTATTAATGGGAGAATATCCAGAAGGCAATTAAGATCAGAATACTAGAAACTAAAGTCCTAGAAAGATACTGAAGGATCTGGTAAGTTTAGCCTTAAGCAAAGTTGATTGAAGAGGAAGAGGGTGTAAGTCTTCAACTACCTAAAAGCACTAGAAAATGGATGAGACTTGTTTTCTCTCTCTGCAATGCTGGAGCCTCTTACACAAAGAGGTGGTACTCTCCCTTTTCAATAGCTGTGTTCAAAGAAAAATTAGCCAGCCCTCCACCTGAGATGCCTCAATCTGGATTCCCGCACTGAGCAAGGAGTTAGGCTCCGTGGCCCATGAACTTAATGTAAATTATCTGCCACACGATACATACCACTTGTATTGTTCCTGAAGGAGGTACCCGATAACCCCTTTTACCAAGGGACTCTAAAGCGATTACACCCTGAGAGGGAAAGGAGAAGAAAACAAGCATAAGATTACAACTAGGTGTACAGACATAAGAATTAACACATCAAAGAAATTAATTCACAAATTTAAACCTGAGAGAAACTGTTAATAAGTATTTTTGCCTAGTCTCGACATTCAGGAAGGCAATTAGAAGCATTACAGTGCAGCTTTTTGCAAGATCATGTGGCAGCCATGTGAAACATGTAGAAAGATGTTTAGAATATAGAAGAGGGTTCCAGGGAGTTGGTTAGAAGACCCCCAAGGTCCTTTCCATCTCTTTTATTCTCTTAAGATGTTAGATGTTACACAACATGCATTTTCTACATACAGAAAGCTGACATATTTACCATATACGGAGAGGGTGCGTTGTCCTCAGAAACGCTATAAAAAGAAACTTCAACAGGAAGCGTCATGTGAGTTGGACAGAAAAGTCCACTTGCTCCCACTTCAGCTGTGAAGCCACCTACAATACCCAGCGGATCTAAACGATAGTTCAGTACAGATTCCTAAAAGGACAAAGGCAACATTGAAAAACGCTTATAGTTATGCTTTTATTGGTCAATGTACGCCCTTCCTTTCCCTCCATCTGGAAGATTACTGCCCACTGGGGTAAAATCACTAAAACACACACGTAGCTGTTAGAAGCATCTCAAAGTCTGAAAATCGAAAATATGATCCTAAGAATCAAGTCTTGATTTGTATTTAAAAATGGAGAGAGAGAAGGAACAAAAGGAAACGCTTGAAAGAATTTGGAAAGGACAGAAGTCTTTGGCTCCCTAGACTTCCCCTGCCAGCATGCTTAAAGATGCCAAGGCTGAAAAACGTTGGTTTAGATAATGGTTGAAAAGGAAGTTCCCAGCGCTGACTTAATTCTTCTGGCTCTGGGCTGGCCAATCCAACGGGCAATGGCTTTCAAAAGTCTCAGGAAGAAGCTATTGGTAAGACTGGATTCTATTAACTGAAAACCAGCTGGCTGAACTTGGCACTTTCTCCATGCATGCAAACCGCTATATCAATGAAATAAGTGGCTCGTATATAACACAGAAAACAGTCAGTTTGTCAGTTAGAAAAAGAAAGGTTTTGGAATATGTAAGTTACCTCAAAGTTTCCAAGAAGGCTAAGACTTGTAACAGATGGTGCACTGGAACTTAGGAGTGCTTTCTCATGGATGTCAGAATCATTCTCTTTGCTTATGTATCGTTGTGGACTAGTTAAAAAAAAATACAGAGGTCTAAGATGCATGCCAGTAATTTGTTTTTAAGACACAGGCTTCAAATGCTTAGGCTTTGGAGTAAAAGGAATGTACACAATTTCAGTACTATAATATTGATAAGGCCCTCTCTAAAGAATAACTCACTACATAGATAGTATTTGGGAGGGAAATGCTACCATGGGTGACACAAGGCATCTATCTACAATCCTTAGGAATTTCTAGGTGTTACATTTACCAGTTTTCTATAACATTTCATGAACTTTAGCTCCTTAAGCCAGACACAACAGTCTGCTTTGTCTCACTGGTTAGACAACAATTACCTCAGGTCAAACTATGGAGTCTGGGCACATAACTAAGTTATGGAAGCAATTTCTTCTCCTATTACATTGCAATGCAATATGGTGTAAGAATCCAAGAAACTCGCACACTGATGACTGAACATTTGTGAACCTTTTAGAACAGTGTGTTCAATAAAATATACCCCCCTATAATATACTGTACAATATACTGGGTGCTTGTTTATGACAACCAAGTCATGTTGTAGTCTCTAATAATGCATAGTTACACATAGTTCTAAAATAGTGTTTTTGGACTTGGCAATTTTAAGATGTGTGGACTACAACTCCCAGAATTCTCCAGCCAGCATAGGACTTCTGGGAATTGATCCATATATCTTATAGCAGCCAAGTTTGGAAAACACTATTTTAGAACTATGTGTAACCATGCGTTATTAGAGACTACAACATGATCTGGTTTTCATAAATAAAAACCTAGTATGAAGTTGTGGGTCATATTTTATTGAACGTACTAAGTCAATATTCAACATCTTTCCTCCTCTTTCTGAATTGCTCCAATTCATTCACTCTTTTTCCAAAATATTAATTTGCTCCAAAGTATACTTTAGAATATACAAATGTTAGAAAACGTATTTCAAAAAATACCTTTTAGAGGAGAAACATTTCAGACGCAATAACGATGCATCAAGATCAAAGCATCCTGTCTGTGTTTTTCTTTCAGGAACCTGCAACAAAGAAACAGAGTTATGTTTTTATATTCCAAAACGGAGTCTGAAATTTTAGTGCATACAACATTTATGATAATGATTAAAATTAAATAATGAGACTAACACAAATTGGCTGGATGAGGCATTATTCGCAGATACCAGAACTGGAGCTTTCAAAAGATAACTTAAAGGCTAAATACATTGGATTGCTTCCACCATTTGTGGTTATTAAAAACCTGGAAAATAAAGGAAAGAGGTAGCAGGGCAGTAAAATTGTAACTTACTGGACTTGAAAGGAGAGGTAATCCAGTCCGGGGGTGGAAGGCCTTGGTAGAAGTCCCATCCAAGTGGTGAAAATTACTTTTGCGCCACACGTGTTTGAGTGGTATTGTTTTCTGCCCAAAGAAGAAGACAGCATCCTGTTATAAAGGGGGTCATTACAACTCAATTTTTCTAAGTACTTAACAAATGATGGAACTACAGATCAAGGAAACTCAATAAATGTTGCCTACCATAACCCCCAGTGTCTGTACTTTGTAGATGTGCTTTCGAGGGTAAGTTCTTCTAAAAGATGACAATTGGCTTGAGGGACCTAAAGTGCCGCCAGGTTCGTAAGGAAACTAATCTGTATTTTAATTCAAATATAAAAGGCATGCTGGTTCATTTCTGTTCTCATCATCAGAGAAATAGGGATGTTTTAAAGTCCTGTATCCATTAGAGAACATGGTTTTTAGGATTGGCAAGTGACAATGAAAAAATTTCTATGGGTCAGGATGTTTTTCCATGAGATCTGAAGTACTTTTACAGTAATTTTTGACTTAATTTTTCAGTAGAGGACTAGCTAAGTCACAAATTTCCTGCATACACTCTACACATATTACCTAACCCCTATTTATGAATATTCACTTTCACAAACAAGGAAATATGGCAAAGTATAAGGATTTCAATAGTCACCCACTTTGTAGAATTAGGCATGGTTGAAAGATCAAGTCAGAAAAAAGAAAAATCATCTCCAGCAAACAATTAACACTGCTTTGGTCAGAAAAGGGTGCCAAAGAACTTTCTCATTCCTCTTGTTGCAAGTATTTGTTTCTCTGGATGTTATCATTTTGAGTATGTATGTGTACACACACCAACGTCAGAGGCAGAGGTGAACTTTCTTCTGAGTCATCTTTAATGCTTACGGGAGAAACATACCATAGAAACTGACCATATGTCAATTAAACATCACTCACCAGCACCTCTGCGTTTTTCCTTTGTTCAAAAACAGCAGCCAAGGAATCTTCTACAGGCTTCTGATAATGCTTCTGTGCCTTATAGTCAATTGGCTCTTCATTTTCGTCATTGGGATTTTTCACTCTGTCTTGTTTACTTTTGCATTTGGAAGCGTCAAGGTCTTTGTGTAAATAGTTTTCAATACTAGTGAGCTGAGAGTTTTGTTCAGAAACATTAGATTGTTTGGAGTCTTTATTTAAGTGCCTGGACTCATATTTGTGCCAGCCGTCAGATGCTGGCACTGTAGCCGCTTTAACATTTTCAAGTATTCGGTGCTGATCCACCTGGGGATTATTTGAACAGTGTGGGTCGCTATTTTCACAAGAGCTCGTTCTGTCCTTAAACTTACTTCTACAAACCAGTTCGTTACTACATCTGAAATGTGAACACGGCTTGGCGGTGCCTCTCTTTGCTGCTTGAGGTTTATGGGGACAACCTGAAAGCACAGACTCCAATTTATCTGCCAGTTCCAATTTATAACCCTCTTTGTTACATGATTGGGTCGTGCAAGTTAGAGGACTTTGATGAAATGTGTTTTGGACTACTTCATTGGTCCCTGCTAGCAGCAGTTTTCTTCTAAAGCCAGGAGATACGTTCTGGTCTGCGTCACATTTAAGTGAGTGCAATGGAGTTGTTGGTGTTTTAAGTTTTGCCTTGGGGTCATCTGCTGGCAAAGCCAATCTAGAACTAGAGAAGGAATCGGAAGGGACCTCCTTGCTCTTCTTCAGCAGGCTGTCCTCTTCATAGGAACTGTGAAAAGCCTTCGGATTAACTGCACTAGCGTCGTGAAAAGTGAACACAGGAGGCGTACCTTGTGATGGCGGTGGATCACAATGAATCAAGTGTCGGGCAATCCTTGTGATAACCTCCTGCCTCTCTTGCAGTAAGGAGCTTATGAGAGGGTTGGTTTCCTCTCTCGTCTGGTGGAAACACTGGTTCACGGGGACGTAGGAGCGAGACAAGGGTGTTTCTGGTATTAGTTGGACTTTTCCAACGTTTTCTGAAGCATTGTGTTCCAAGTTAGCAGCAACGGAGGGCAATTCCCTTCCTTTCTTCAGCAAGTTTTTCTCTTCAGGGGCATGGCATAGACCCTTGGGGTTTGCCACACCGGCTTCATTTGTACTAAAGGCCTTCCTTGTGACAGGGGATGCTGCCGGATCACAGTGAATGAGATGCTGGGCAATCCTGGCTATAACTTCATGGCGCTCTTGGAGTAAAGAGCCTATCAAAGGAATTGAATCTCCCAATGACTGGCGGGAAGGGTTGCTGTTATGGCCATGGGGATCAGCCAAGCAAGAGGATTTCAAAGCTCTCTCCGGTGTTTCTGGCATCAGCGCCCTGCTCTCCAAACCAGCTGGGTAGCCCTGAACTTTTGATTCTAACGATCCAAAGTCAGATCCAAGGCCAGCTAAGGGATAAAGTTTCAGGTTTCTGACAGCAGTGTTAAACTCGGGGCCTTGCTTTACACCAAGCACGCTTCCAGCCCACATCAGTTTGCCACAAGGGTGTTGCGAGTTGGTCACACTGGATTGTTCGGTCTTAATGGAATCACAGCAGCGCTGATGGACATTAGTCTCTTCTCTTCTCTTTTCGTAGAAGCCAAAGTTGGCATGAATGCTGCAGGTCAGAACTGGGTAGGTCGATTGTCTGGGCAAAGATTGGACACTGACTTTCAAGGCCACATTGTGAGAAATATTGGGGACAGGGAAAAGGTGTTCTGTTGGTGTCTGGGAAAATGCCCACTGCAGATCCACATGACCAGCACCCACTCTGAAAAATTAAAAGCAAGATGTCAAAGCAATTCGGGTCTTAATTTAGTGCATGATTTAGTTCCTGAGCCTTTGGACGCACACAATCTAAAATAATGTTGCTGTTGTTTTAAAGTAAAATCTCTCCTAAATGGGATCAAGGAGACTAATTAAACCTGAAGCAGTACTTAAAAGTATGCTTCTCATCCTCACAAGGCTGCTTAGAATGGACAGGAGGAGGTGCTTTTCGACAAAAGCCTACCTGCAAAGAATGTTACGAGGCACAGCTCCGTGTGACACACTCAGCCAAGCACTTAACTGAGAAAAGAACACAAAAGAGCGGACAGCCAATAAGAGGGTCTTCTCTTCAATAAATCGATCACCACTTCTAAAAATATATCAAAAGAGAAAATATACACATCGGTGAAAAATACACAAGAAGGGCAAAACATTGTGGTTGAATGCAATTACCCCTCCCCCTAAAATATAAAAGTAGGAGTATGTTCCCCATCGCCAAATCATTTATGATCATTGTTTTCCCTTCACTGCCAAGAAAACTGCATGGGTGCATTCACATTGTAGAGAGTTCATCTTGACTCAAAAGGAAACATAATTTTAATTCCGAATATGTATTGCTGGTTTTCTTCTGTATGTGGCAATTGACTTCCCTCAATTTCAAGTTATGAAAGTGAAAAACACTATCTGCCTATTCAAATGAATAAACAATTTTTTTAAAAAAAAAAAAAGATTTCGCCTTAGCAGTGTCTGTCACATTCTCATTTTATTTGAATTCAGTTAAGCATTCATCCATTCATCAACTTTCGATTCTCCCCCATTCCAAAATGGTTCGGGGAGGCTTCTCAATGAAAACTGAGAAAGGTATTAAGATAGAAAGAGCAAACTGGGAAAAAAAAATGGGACTGCTTCCAAACCAGTTATTACCTAAAGCCTGAGAAAGAACCAGGTCCTTAAAGCTTGTTCTAGGAGCCTTGTGATTGTCTGAAGGGAGGCTACTCCAGAGGACAAAGGCAACCACAGACAAAGCTCTCTTGTCTGGATCCTGCTAGGGCACAGAATCGTAGCAGTCCATGGCCCATTGGGAACAGGGACCCATCAGCGGTGGGCGAGTGTGCCAAGTTTCATTCGCACGTGCATGAGAACTAGGTTGCACGTGTGAAACCATCCTCTCCCTCCCTCCCCTGCAGTCTGCAGGTGTTGCCATTCTGTGGAGCTAGAAAGATTGAGGATCTCTGTTGTGCTAGGGGATAACTGGAAGATTGTGGCAAGCTTCTGTCCAGACCAACTCTCACAATGAAAACAAAAACTTACTGCCGTGGAACTGGCTGTAAAATCCATCTTTCTAACAACAGTGCATCTTGCTTGATTGCAGGATCATTTAAGTCATTCCCTTCAGTCGTGGGTCCTTCATCGCTATAGCAACAGTCTGGAAGTAGCATCACTTCTATCATAATAGGAATATTTTTCTTCCACAGCAATGCAACTTCAGATCTGGTATGCCTGGCTTGACGGCACTTGAACAAAAGAATCAAACAACTCAATGTTACACTTACATCCGCCTCTGTGTATAAACCACATAGAATTTTCCAAACTCTTAATAATGAAAAATGAAAAAGAAATCTGAAATGCATTTTTGAGAAGTAACTCCATTTATGAAACCCAGGAGCTTTTAGTTAATCCAGCTGACACCATTATAATGTACAAAAAAATTAATTTGGCAGACCTATAATCAAATGTATTTACTTTCTAAATACATTCTAAAGGTGATTGCTTGCCTAACATAAACAGAGATTAGGCACAGTTGGGCTGTTAAGTGCGTCACTGATGTTATGTTATAGCATTTAATGCTGATTTTCCAGAAGAACCAACTTGCCAGCCATCATCAGCATGGATCATCATACCTGGGCCAATCTGTCACTGCATTCATGTTTGGCTGTTGTTGGTTGACTTGACTGTGCTGGAGGACAGTGGAAGCCTTCAGTCCTGCCCTTAATCGAGTATTCAGGTGTTCTGCCTTCGGTAATCAACAAGGCTAAGTTGACAAGGAATTCCTCGGCTTCGTATTCAAAATATTCATCTAAGGTGTCTTAACAGAGAAAAGAAAAGGTGCAATTTTATAAACAACAGTATAAATAGTTTCAAGTGTGTATGCGTGTGGGTACTCCTAAATTTAATTTTCTTCAACAAAAACCCAACTATGTTCTCTTAAAAGGTTTTACACATGCTATTTTTATCTCGTAAAGAATAAACCCTCGGTGACCACATGTAAGTAACAACAACAAACTTGACAACATTAAGAAAGTGATGCAATCTGCTTATCTTTTGAGATCAGCTAAGGCAGAGATGGGCAACTATGGTAACAATACAACCATTCTGCTCAGAAATTCTGGGAGTTGAAGTCCAGGTTGGAAAGTTGCCATAGTTGTCCATCCCCAAACTAAGGTCAGGTAGGTTCTCCCTAGTAGTGTATTCAAGGATGCAGCAACCAGGTAGTTTTCTTGACCAGAAGATGGGCTGGCTCCTTCTTTTTCAGGATGTCTCTTCTTGACCTTTTAGCCTAGCTCACAATACTGGCCTTTCTTGGTGGTTTCTCAAGCATGGACTAAGCGGGCATGGCCTTTTTCAAGATCAGGCAAGGTAAACTAAATCCTTTTATCTATTAAACCAGCTTGAATTATTTTCAGCGTTGCTCATCATTAAAAGTTTACCTAGCTGAAATCCTCTTGCAGTGCAGCTGATCAAGGGATAGAGACTGTCTGGCATGAGGATGAAGCTATCAGTTTTAAAAGCCAGATTTGAGTTTTCTTAAATGGATACACTTTGCGCTGTTTCAAAAAGAAACATGCCAGCATTATTATCTGTCAGTATGAGACCCTTAGATATACAGTATAAAACAATCTAGCTCAAAAGTTTGTAGAGCTCAATGTTTTTAATTGGGAGCATGTGGTAAAATTATGTTTTTCCTCTTTGCTTTTTAAGATGGAACTTTCGTTGTTAGAATGCATGTGAAGAAATTCTGCATTAAGTTTCAATGGCCTATTAAGTCCAGAACATTTAAGAATGTAGAAATTGATTTTTAGATAAGATATATTATCTTGATGAGATAAATTGCCTTATCTTTAGATAAGAAGACATATTATCTTTTTAGGAAAGTTTTAAAGAATTTGCTCACCCCTCATTTCAATTATTTTTAAAAGCTTTGAATAATTCCCAGGCTAGCTTTGCAAGGAACATAGCATTAATTGTTACAGCCTAACAAATCTAAATTAGTATAAAGAAATAAAATTCAAGCAATTCTCAGTAGATAAAGTGGCAACTGGCAGCGGTCTTCAAAAACCATGTATCTGCTGGAATTATGTAACAAATTCTGTTGTTTATGTTTTAATCACAATCACCCGACTATGAAACATTGGATTGAATTTACATTCTGCTTTAATGTCTAAGCATTTTTAATTATTATAACTTTATGATTCATAATTATTTATTTACAGAAAAACAATCTTAACATGGGCTTCTAAGAAGAGTTAAATTTAATTTCAAAGACAGCAAACCAAGGGACACCATCATGGTAAGCGAACATCCTTGGCAAGAAATTAAGGATTAAAATGCTAGTATGTGAATCCACAACTATGTTAGAAGGCCAAATAAATAATTGCATAATTTGATGTTAACTATTACTTTACAAGTGTAAAACAATGGACTGTACCCATATTTTATGTGTCTATGTGGATCAACTGTAACCACTTGGACTTCAATCACAATCTAATGTATTCCATTGTTTTTTATGTTTTCTTCTACACTCTGCATTCTACCTTAAAATGAATTGCTAATGAGTCAGTTCTGTTGTGTTGCAAAATACTGGTTTATTATGCTCAAAATACAACAAACTGGAAACACTGTCCACGTGCCAAAGAAACAGCTGCAGAACTCTGGCTCAAACTTAAAAACAGCTGCTGGAATCCTGTTAAAAATAGAATCCCAAAGAGCTCCTTCTAAATGGAGTTTTGTCACTACGTAAAAGTCAGCAGGAGACTAGAGATACCTTTCTTGTAATGGTAATTTTAAACCCTTTTGGTCCTTGATTGTAATGCTATCATCTTGATCTTAGATAGGAAAGAGATTTAAGGGGATGGGTTAGAGGGATAAAATAGAATGAGGAGCCTATTATTTATACATAGTTGTGAAGCTAGAAAAATGTGATCCAGAAGTAATCATCTTATACACCAAGCCAATTCATTGAATAATCACTTCTATGTGTACACTGAACCACAATATGATCTGGTTCCATTCCATCATCCATAGTAAAATAAACCATAAATTCATGCGATACACAAACCACTACTGACTTTCGTGAAAAAAGATAATGTGTCTCCAACGTTTAAGACTGATAAGATCAAAATCGTTATGAATGGTGCACATAACGTAAAGGAAAAGAACCTATAAGAGACATTTAAGCTGCTTCCCAAGGAATGCTTTCGTACACTTTGTGGTGTGCAATAATTGAGGGATAAACCAGAAGAACAGGAAGATGAAACCGAAAAAGGAGGTACATCTCAGGTTGTGTAAGGTGCTTTCTCAACAGTTTGGCCAATGTTCGCTCTACTGATCTTTTGCCTAGCAGGGATCAGGTCACACCAATCTTCGTCTTTGCTGCTACCGGCACACTAAAAAGACATTCAAGCTACTACATTTAGGGGTAAAAATAAATTTAGGTTTTAATGGGAAATGCAGAATTCCTCAGCACAATTACATCTACATCTGTTTCAGATCCAGCCACTGATGTATGCTGTGGATCCCGTCTCCCAGCAGGCTCAAGAAAGAGTTTTTTTTTTTTAAATATGATTGTATTTGACATGTTTGCTTTATACTTTTTTTGCTATATGCCGCCCAGAATCACTTCTTGTGAGATGGGCAACTATATAATTATCTTTGTACAGCTCTGACCTAGTTTCATCTTTCTTATCACAGGGAGTTATCCGGGTTGCAACCCTTTCCTGCAGGAAGGTTATTGCTGAATATGTATTTAGGAACAGCCAGGGCAGGGTATTCTTAGAAGACGGTTTCCGAGAGAAAGGATTCCCAGATCAAAATAAGCTTCTCTACTGTCTGTTGGTCCGAGTAGCCTCTGAACCTGCTATCATAACAGGGTCACAGCTGCATGGCTCTTTCTAAACAACAGCTGCATTCTCTTAGTCCCGAACAAGGAAAAAGAAAGGAGACCCAGTTGCAGTGAGGACATAAATAGAGTGAGAAATTACCAGCATTCAGAAAAACTCTAAGAAGAGTTCAAGTAATGAATTTATTTAGAGAGGACAGGAGTTGTTGTTTTTTTTAACTGGTTACTCTTCCAGATTTTATTGCCAATGAATGAATATTTTCCAGCATATTGAGGGACATGAATAATCGTACAGCACTACTCAATCCTGAGAAATGTTTTAGTCATTTCTTTTATTGGAACTGCTCATCATTCTGATAAAAAATACTAAAATTACTAAAGCATCTCGAAGGATAAAATGAAGTGGGGAATATTATTATAATCTTTTTTAGATTCTGCAAATGCTTCTCTTTCCTCTAGGTTATGCTTGTTTCTTAAAGCTTCTTTTGAGGGGAGGGAAGATACTCCCTAAAGTTAATAAACTGGTTCTTAAACTTTTTTTAAACAAATATTTTATTTTGTCCCAAGCATCATAGACCTCTCATCAATCTTCTGCTTGTATTACATACCTGTGACTAAGAAGATACATAACTGCTGTATCATTAGTCAATTAATCAACATCTTGGATTAGTACAGCACACTGACCCACAAACTTCCTTTGTCATATCTGCACAAAACCCAGATCAGCCAGTCATATTTTAGCTTATTACACAATACATATTCAGCTGATACATAGCCCTATAAATATTGGGAAATTTTAGTGACTTGTTAGTTTCTTGAAACAAATATTTCAGTCTTAGTTCATTAGTAGATGACATTTTTCCAGTGCCTAAACTGGAAACAACTTTAGAAATGAACAAAGAATGTCCAGTTAACGTACAACCATTAAGCACATTTTTTCCTGTCTCTATAAATATTAGGTTCTTGAACAAAGAGTCTAAGGCGGTATTACATAAGACTGCACGAAAATAATAGGAATGTTTGCTTTGCTCGAGTTTTGCCTTTAGTTCTGTGGTAAAAGCGACAGCAAGTTGAAAAAACGATCATGTTTTATTATGAATAGAAATTTGAGAGATCTTACTTTGCTTTCCATTTTATATCTCCAAGGCATCCACTCCCAACTCCAAGCTTCTATAAAATGGTTGCTGACCCTTATCTTCCCAAAATACAGGTAGTCCTTGACTCATGACCGTAATATAAATAATGCTCAACTTACATACGACTTACAAGCCTGCCCCTTACAGGTATAAGTCGTGATGGGCATAAAGTGGATCACCCATGTGACAGACATAAATGCAGGCCAGTTGCCAAGTGCCTGACACTGGTCAGGTGATGAGGGGCAACTGCTGGAACTGGGTCATAAGTATCTTTGAGGGGGGAATGTGTCATAACTTTGAATGGTTGCTAAGCGACTCGTCATGAGACATGGTGGTAAATTTGAACTCTACTCCAGTGCATCTCAGCTTTGAATTCTGGGAACTGAAGTCCACCCATCTTAAAGTTGCCACGATTGAGAAACACTGTGCTCGCTTAGGTTTGACCTCTCCAGCTCTCCCAGATTGCTCCTGTCTTTGGTTTACTCTTACTTGCAAACCAGGAACTTTTGCTTGCATTTTTAAAATAATTCTGAAATGTTGATTGCTCTACACTTCAGACTGAGTTTTACACAATAACTCACCTAGCAACATGGGCAAACTATAATATGTATGCAAAAATAATTCTCATTCCACTGGAATTCAACTCATTTATACATAAGCAATAGCTCTATGCATGGAAAAGATACGTACAGTTGTAACATCCACTCAAATGAACCAGGAATGTTGCTACACTGGAGTATATAGGAATAATATTTGGCCTCCATTGAACTACAACTCCCAGAATCCTTGACTGACTATGCCAATGTCATCCAGAGTGACTAATTTCTAACCAAT